GGCCCCGCCCCGGGCCCCGCCCCGGCCTTGACGTCAGTCGGGGAACAAACTCTATTATTCCAATCAGTGGTGCATCAGGACGTTAGATGAGGCAGCAGAGTGCCGAAAAGACAGATGCGTAAATTTAAAACCGCACACGGTCCCACGTCTCGGAGACGAGCTCTGCCATCTTCCAGTCAGTCTTGCCGGCTCTTGTCCAGGGGAACGCGCACAGGGCTGTTTACACGGCATGCGTAGTAGAGTGCACAAACTTTGTAAACCAGGTTCTCACGTAAAAGTTAAGAAAACTTCCGTGTTCCTACGTAACTGCTACAACATACGGGGCGCCCAGTACGGGGAGACTAAAGAGCCCCCTAACCAGCGCCCTGCGCCTGCGCCTGCCGCTCCTTCCACCTTTGTGTCCTTAGAGCCCAGCATCCCAGACACAAGTTCCGTAAAGCAGGTTCCCGGAAGTGGAATCGCTGTGTCAGCCGGAAAGCATTAAGCTTCGTGATATTGCCACATTAGCCTCCGAAAAGGTTATTCGGCTATTCGAGCTGTGATCCTCAGGGCAGGCTGTGGTGGTCCAGTTATACCCCGCCCCCTCCTCAGAGGACCCTCGGGCTGGGCTGGAGTGCCAGGGTGGGAGGTGCTGCCCTCTCTTTGTCTCTCAGGCCCCAAAGGGGTCGTGAGGGGGTGGACAGCGTGACAGCGTGGCTATGGCCACACACCCCCCTCACACACTCCTCCTGGTGCCCTGCTGCAGGAAGGGGGCATCCCAGGCCCACCTGGCCGGCCAAGGCTGGTCGTGTCTGTGGTTTTTCATTTCCGCTTACGGAGAGGCTGACCCTCCTGCCACCTCGCCCCGCCCCCCCCAGGTGTCTGGGCAGCACGGGGAACGGTGCTGCGCTGGCGGCTTTGGAGAAGCAGCAGCAGCAGACCTTCAGCAACCTTGAGCAGGAGCAGGTAAGGCCACTCCGTCCAGGCAGTGGGCAGGTGGCATACACCGATGTAGTCATGAGAACATCCCGCACCCCAGCTAGAGAATCCCTGAGCCCTCACCGACCTCCAGGGCTGCTCAGGCCTCAAATCTCTGCTCTAGATGGGCTGCCTGGACCAGGGAGGTGGGGTGGCAGGCGGGGCGCATCCCAGGAAAGGGGGGCAACAGGAGGAGACAGAAAAATGCAAGCGACAATATCTGTCAGGCAGGCCCTGACTAGTGAACCGTGAGGGGGTCTTAGGACGGTGTCCACTTATCACATGGCAATGAGCGTGGCTGCCCCAGGCTCCCCATCCCGAGAACAAGCCCTAGCTGGACGGCCTGGCGCTGGCCAAGGGCAGGGACCATGCCCCAAACCTGGTGTCCTGTGTCGCAGGCAGACGCTGTGATGAAGCCGGGGTCAGGGCCGCTCTGCCGAGCCTTAGTTTCCTCCTGTGGTTGGTGAAGGCTGCCACCTCCAGGGTGGGTGTGCAGAGACCTGAGTGTGGGCAGGGTGGCTCTGCTGAGGGGTGTGCCGTCAGACGCTTCGGGGAACCGAGGACAGTGAGGACAGTCTAATGAAGGGATGAGTTCCAGAGGTGGGGGCAGTGCCCAGAACCTGGAGACGGAGGGCTGTGTGAGGAGGGCAGAGGCTCACCCAGCCCATCCCGGCCCTGCCCTGGGGGCCCCAGGGACGAGCACCCAACCTCCCCTCCTGCCTCTTGCTGGAGCTTCCTGCAGCTAAACCCAAGGGGAGCCACAGTGCCCAGGCCCTGCTGTCCGAGCAGGCCGAGAAGGGCAGGGATATCTAGAGGGGCAAGGGGAGGCCCCCCGCAGCACTGGCCCCCGGCTGCCTTTGCACCCCGTTTATCAGTGCGTTTCTCTTCCACGTGTGCCTCGTGCGGGTGGGGTCATGGCCGTTTCCTCCTCCGCCTGGTTCAGAGGGAAATCCGATACCTGTGGAAGAGCCACCTGTACTGGCACCAGGAAAGGACACGGCTCCTGCAGCACCATCGGGACGCCCTTTCCGTGCAGAGGGCCCTGGCCCGCCAGCAGCAGGAGCTTCAGACGTGGACACTGCTGCCTCAGGTGGCCACTCACACTGGGGCTGGAGGCTCGGGCCGTGACCAGGAAACACCTGTGGGAATGTGCAAGTTCCTTGTAAAAACACCCGTGACCCAGAGTGGACAGGGGCTCTGGCCGGGTACAGATGGAGGGCGGGCGGGGCAGCCACCTGCTGGGGGCCGAGGAGGTGCCCAGGAGGAGGGGGCGGGCCTGGCCTGGGAAGGAACCAGGCCCCAGTGCCACTGGAGGGGCTCTGAGGCAGAAGGAAGCGTGGGGCCTGGGGCTCCTCAGAGAGGCCAGTCCTTTGGGGGACCCCAAGCAGCAAGATCCGGCTCCCCGTCCCTTGCCACCATCACATGAAGGAGACTGGTTGTGAGGTGGCCGTCCCCAGGCCGAGTGTCTCCTCTGTGAGTTGGGGTTGCTGACGGTCTCACTTGGCAGGTAAGGATGGAATGAGCCGGGCTCCGCGAAGCACCTGGTGTGGGTTGGCAGTTGCTGCGGGGTGACCACCGGGGGGGTGTGCCCCAGGCCAGTCTGCAGCAGGGGCACCCAGGGCTGCCTGGTTCCCGACGCAGTGGGGTGCGGCCCATTGTCTGCACCCACCAGGCACTGTTAGCACTGGGCGCAGGGCTCCGCTGAAGGGAAGCCCACCTGTCTCAGCCCGGGGCCCACTGGTGGGAGCACGCCGTCTGCCGTGGCTGCTGCCGCGTGACACCTGCCACCACCTCTCCGAAGAGGACGTGGGCCACAGGTGTCACAGCAGCTCACTCTGTGCCGTTTCTCGTAGAGCTCCAGCCCTGGAGTCAAGGCCGCCCAGGAGGGGGGCTCTGAGGCAAGCCAGCGATCTGAGGGGTGGGCACGGGGCTCCTCCTGCCCCCCGACACCACGTGGGCCTGGCAGCCCCGCCAGCCCCGCCAGCCAGCGCCCCTGGGAGCGCCCTGAGGGCCTGAGAGCCCCGTGGTGAGTCCTTGCTGGGGCCCTGGCCGGTGCTCCCGTTCACAGCCTCTCCTGTGCTGGCGGCCGTCGCACTGCCAGGCCTGCAAGGAGGGGGGACACTGGGAGTACTGAGGGGACCCTGCTCCAGCTGGCTGGCCCACGGGAGGTGGGCAGAGGCCACAGCTGCCCTGGGCTGGTGGGAGGCGCGCAGGCAGGTGCTGCTGGCCAGGAGGGCCTGGGGTGTCCCCGCTTCCCTGAGCCTGTTTCTGCATCTGTTCAATGGGGACAGGCTGCCCCCGTCCTGGGCTTGGTGGGCGCAGTGAGACAGAGTGGCCAGACCTGGCTCGAGGGCCGCGGTGCCGTGTGGGTGGCCAGCCAGCGGGGGGCGCCCCCCACTCCGAGGCTCGGCCTCTCCCCTCTGTTTGCAGCAAGCAGCCTCTCTGCTGGGACAGCAGGGGCTTTGCCCAGGCTGTGTCACCTCGGGGTGGCGGGGGTGCCCGCTGACCAGTGCCACCTGACCCAGCGCCTTGCTGTGGGATGTGGGAGGAGCTCAGCTGCTTTTCCCATCGAGAGCTTCCGGACGGCCTGGCCCAGCAACACCTCTTCCCTTCCAGCCCAGTTAAAACGGCCCTCTGTACCCGGAGGCCCCTTCTCCTCTGAGCCTAGTTCCCCAGAGCTGGCCACCCCCAGACTAGCTGCAGTACCCACCAGAAGCAGCAGGCTGAGAGTGGGGTGAGGAAGCAGGAGGTGCCCCTACCCCAGGAAGGGGCTCGCCCCCCAGAAGCAGCCCTTGCAGGAGCCCCTCCCCTCCCTTGGGGCCCCAGAGTGGCCCTTCCAGCCGCGTTCACGCCTCCCGCAGGAAAGAGGGTCATTGTCCACTCAGCAGGGGTTGGGGGGGCCATGAGCTCCGCTGGCCTCCCCTTACCCCCCCATGAGCATTTTCTAAATAAACCTCACTTGGACTGGTCTATAATTCATGGTGCTGTGCACGGCCAGGCCCAAGTCCCTGAAAGGCTCCGGGCTGACTGCCCTCCTGGGACCCGCCAGTTTGCTTATAAGGCTGGGCGGGCAGGCGTTAGCCAGGCCTGGATCCGGGTCAGGGGTCAGCTGTGCAGGGTGGGGGCCGTGCTGGGCCAGGTCTCTGCTTGGCCATCACACGCGGTGACCCCTAGTCACTACCGCAAGGGTAGAAAACAGGGAAGCCACGTGGCAGGAGAGACTCAGACAGACTGAACATTTTGCTGGAGGTCACGGCACAGACTGCCGGGCAGGTGGCAGGTGGCAGGTGTCCTCGTTCTTTTGTTCGTTCAAGTGCAGCCCAGCGGGGCTCCCAGCGGGGTGCTCGGTGAGCTCATCCTGTGGCCCCACCCCCTCACTCAGCCTCCAGGTGCTGTGGCTACTGGCCTGAGACCCCGGGTGCGGGAGGGTTTGAGGGGCCCTCAGAGGGCTGCGGCGTGGGGCTCCGGGCATAGTCTCCTTGCTCTGTCCTCAGCGCCGGTACTCCAGGGTCTGGGGGCCTGGATCGGGGCCACGCGTACCCACTGGGTCCTGCCCCAGCTGGGTCAGGGCTCCAGGCCCCTGTCTCCTCCTTCCAGACCTCCAAGCACAGCCCTGTGACCCCACCCCATCCACACCCCGGATGTGAGTGTGGGTCCTGGGGAGACTCAGGGCCACCTTAGGGGGCAGCCAGGTAGGCCCAGCTGCAGCAGGTGTCTGGGAGACAGGACACCCGGAGAGCGGCAGAATGTTCTAGAGCAGGCCGGCCTGCGGGCGTTGTCCTT